ACCAGCTTCTCCATAGGTGAATACCGCAACTCGGCTTCATGTAAAGCTTTACTGATATAATAAACAGGGTATTGTTGATGTTCTTCTTCTTGAATGAGAACAACACTAATAGCAGTTTCACTTACTCCCAAGTATAAGTACAACATTTCATATGGAACCGGCTTCTGTAAAGTCGGTGGTCGTGCGAGTGCTTCTTTAATGTTGACCAAGGCTTGTTGACACTCTTCGGTCCATTCGAAGTATTTCCTTTCTTTATTGATTTAAAGAAAGGTCTGCAATAATTAGTTGACTTAGATATGAATCTGTTCAGGGCAGCAAGTGGGCCATTAATAGCTTGAACACCTTTGACCGATGTGGAGGGTGTTAAGTCAAGAATAGCCTTTATCTTTAAGGGGTTAGCTTCAATTCCACGTTGAGTGACAATGTACCCTAAGAATTTGCCCGAACCAACTCCGAATGTACATTTCTTCGGATTTAACACCATGGAATAATCTCTGAGGATGTTGAACATTTCTTGTAAATGATTGATGTGGTCGACAGCATGGATTGATTTGACCAACATGTCGTCAACATAGACTTCCATGGTGTGTCCGATGAGTTTAGCGAACATCTTGTTAACTAGTCGTTGATATGTGGCCCCAGCATTTTTGAGACTGAACGACATCATAGTATAACAATACAGAACTCGGGCAGAATAAAAAGAAGTATGTTCCGCTTCTTCAGGATCCATGGGGATTTGATTATAACCCGGATATGCTTCCATAAAGCTCATCAATTCATGTCTAGATGTGGCGTCCACCATATAATCAATACATGGCAACGGGTAGCTGTCTTTGGGACATGCTTTATTCAAGTTGAAAAACTCGATACAAAGTCGCCACATGCCGTTACTTTTCTTGACCAACACAGGATTAGATACCCAAGTCGGGTACTTCGTTTCTTGAATGAATTTGTTGTCAATGAGCTTCTTGACTTCTTCTTCTAAAGCCTTATGTCAATCAGAGCCGAGCTTGCGTCTCTTTTGAACAACTGGTTTATGGCAGCATCGAGATTAAGTCGGTGACTGGCCACCTTGGGGTCAATGCCCTTCATATCTTCATGTTTCCAAGAAAATACATCAGAGTTTGCCCGGAGAAATTGAATAAGTTGAGTTCCTATAGGCTCTTGAAGATTGGCCCCAATTAGAAGTGGTTTTGTCACAGATTGGCTCGTCAATAAAAATTGTTTATATTTCTTCGGACGGTTCTGCTAGGTCAATTTTACTTTTCTCTTTAAACTGAGTCCGTGGATCAAGTTCATCCTCTTCTTTCGTTGGTTCTTTTCCAGGACGCCGTCCACGGTCTTGGATCAAATTATCTTGTAATATTTCTTTCGAGTTTGTTATGAGCTCGGAATGTTCTATTTCCATCTCAGTTTTGTCGAGTACCAAGTTGTCAAATGTTGACTGTGGATTTTCAGAGACTTTCCTCAAATCTTCATTGATGTTTTCCTGCCATATGTATCATTGGAGAAGGTTCAATCCATGGTTTGGTCCACGCCATTCCTCGGGCTTCATATTGATCGCCATAAAGAGTTCCTTCTCAGTTATTTGTGGGAAATTTAAGAGCATAGTGAAAAATTAAGACAACTGCACGAAGTTTATATAAGGTAGTTCTTCCCACAATAGCATTATATTCATTTTTTATGTCCATCACCTTAAATGTTTCCATGATAACCTTCGAGGTTTGTTCAGGGACTCCGAACCGAATTGGCATAGTGATTTCACCAAGCGTGGGTGTGATACTTACATTATAGCCTTGAACTTGGTCTTTGCAGGGCTTGAGCTCGGAGGGATCAATCCCCATTTGTTAAAAAATTCGAAGCATTAAAATACTGGAGTAAGCACCTGTACCCACCATTATATTATGGACAAGTATTCCACAAATTGGAGCAGTAATAGCAAGTGGATCAGGGTGTGGATGTGCGAAATAACTTGCGTCTTCGACATTAAAGGTGATAGGACAATTGTTTCGAGCGTTGATTTTGTCTCTGAGATCAGTTGCTAGAATGGCTTTGCCCGAATTGTATGCTTGTCGAGCATAAGCCTTTGTCTGCCGACGCGATCCATTTGGCTTTCCATCACTATTATTAATTTGTGGAACATTATTGTAACAAGGGGAATTTGGAGAATTAACTCTTTTCAACGTTTAATGTTTGTTGAGGATGAAGCTCTGTTTTCATCCGAAGGAAATGTAAAGACTTCTTTATCCCTTTGCCTTATTCTTTTCGGGTTGACAGGTCTATCCTCGTCCTCTTCGTCATTAGGGAACTCTTGTGGTCTCCCTTTTCTTTTGAAGTTGAAATTTTTGGCAAAACGCTGGACTTAAGGATGTCCAATGAGCCTTAACAGAGCAGAGAGTAAACATAGACATTCATCAGTATTATGCCCTGCCGACTTATGATATGAACAGTATTTGGGTTTGTCGAGTTTGTCTTTGGGAGTTCTCACAGGTTGGGTTCTGGAAGAATTCCTTTTCCTTTAAGTTCTTCAAAAATGGTTACAGCTCCAGCCGAGTAAATTGTCTGGTAACTCGTCCTTATATCATTTACATACTTGACCTTGGCTTTTTTTGATTCAGGATCACTTGGATTTCCCTTTGAAGGCCCTTCGAACCGGGATTTATTCTGTTTGTTCCCGAAGAATTTGTTCTTTTTCTTTTTTACTTCCTGTCCGACTCTGACTTATTAGAAGAGAAGTCAAAGTTCGGAACTGACATCGATTCTTCAGCAATTATGTGTTGCTGGGCCCAAGCTAAGAATTCTTGGAATGAGTTCGGTTTGTTCTGGCATATAGTCCAGCGAAACAAAGAGTTCGGTTTTAACCCTGCAATAGCAGCAACTACAACGTCTCTGGATGACATTGCTCCATATTTTGAACTCGTTCATTAAATCGTGCAATATAATCTTTCACACTTCGTCTTCTTTTTACAAAATGTTGGCAATTGATTCTTTCGGGATCAAAGATACTCGGGCCCCAATAAAATGAGATCGAAAAGCCGACCTCAGTTGTTGCCACTTCCAAATTGAATGATGAGGTAAAGAGTGGTACCATTTTTTAGCCCGAGGTCCCAGAGTCAACGAAAACATACGACACCTCAGTGCATCAATTGCTCCATGGAGATCCATCCATGAGGTATATTGACCAAGATGTGCATATGGATCCGAGGTCCCATCATAGAGACCGATCTGCGGAACTTTAACTTTGCTAGACAATGGTTCCATAGTGAGTTGAGAGGCTAAAGGAGATTCTGCCCCTAGATAAACATTATCCGAGGCTCTTCGTGGAGATTCTCCATGGACTCTCTGCCGAGTTTCTAGCTCAGCAATTCTTTTGCGCTGAGTTTCCAGTTCAATTTACTCATGCCTAAGACGATTTCTTTCAACGGTATGGCGCAAGTTGGAATGTCTATCAGATTGCGATGTTGCCGGCGGCGGAGGCTGTCGATAATGTCCTTAATGGCTTTCGGCAGTTATTTCTTGTATATTGCCTTCTGGTAAATTATGAACGACAGGAATATCACCGTGACCTTGTTCATGTACTTCTTCCCTTTGTTGGGCTTGAGTTCGTGGCTGAGAGGTAGCATGAGAAGCCACAACATGTGTATTATGGTCTTGAACTGGCGGCGTTTGTTGCCTTATTGGATTGGTTTGAGCAGTTGTGTGACCAGGAATAGTAATAGACGGCCCTGGTCTTGTCTGAGCCATGAAATCAGAGAGATTTCTTATAAACTCTGGGTCTTGGAACAAAACAGAGTAGTCAAGAGTCATAGAAGGAGCAATTATTCCCTCAGTTGATTGAGCAGGAAATCGACTGGTTCCAACTTTTGGATTCCTTTCTTGACGTCCAGAACTTGCCATAATATTGTAATATAAAGTTTAGTTGGCGGAGGTATGTGTTTTGTGTATAGGATATCGAAGATTAACCTCAAATAACTTATGAGGCCCCCCTTCTAGCGCCAATCTGTTGTTGTATGAAAATTAACAACGATAATAAACAGTAGCTGAATGTAATTAAAGTAAAAGCAATGAAAATTATTGTATTATTGCTATCTGTTTAAATGTACAGGAGGTCGGTTTTTGTATATAACTGAGCTGTTTTGTTCTTCCGTGTACCATGTGCGTAAAAAGATCCCCGTACAATCATAAATTCTGCTATTTATAGTACGGTGCATTTGACTTTTTCGTACGAGGTAGATCAGATCGCATTTAATATTGAACAGCTTCATTGAAGCGGTCTGTAGTATAATGAGGGGACAACAATAATTACTGTTTTGATAGGTGGCCCAATCAGGGACGATCCTTGTCACCAGCTTTGGGATTCAGTCACCTCGAACCTTGGCTTAAGTGGATAACCTTCAGGGAAGAATATTCGCGAAGTCGATTCATTGACTTTTACGCGAAGTCGGTTTACCAGCTTGAGTAGGTCGGTTGTCATTTATATATGTGAGGTCGGTAATTGTCTCTTTGCACCGAGGTGCGCTAAATTTGTTGTAGGAATTGAGCCAGAGAGAGCATAATCAATAAATTTTCTTTTAATCTTGATAAATCAAGTCGGTTGTCAACAAATCTAATGGTGATAAAGGGAGTATCTGATGCTATGTAGGTACAAGGAGTACCTGACAACAGAAGGTTCGTATTAACTATTATATAATAGAACAATAAAAAAAATTGGATCATAACCTAATTAATATTAAATGTAACAATTTATTATCATAAATAACTTAAAAAAGAATGAAAAACAAATACGTTTTCATACATGATTTTCCTAAAATTTTACATACATATAATATTAGTATATAGATAGATATAACTTTTGAATTAATAGTAAGAAAAGAAAAATTTAGTATACATTATTTCAGGTTGATAATAGCTATTTTCACAATAATTTAGTTACAAAATTGTCTAATAAATTCAACCAATAGAAAAACTCTATAGTAACAGGGAATTATATATTGAAGTAAATGCAAAATAAAGAAAATATAAAAAATAATACCAAGAAGAAAATCCTCATCGCGAGGGTCAGACTGTCCGAATCCATTTCCCGGTCGTGCACCGAGCGTCGCCGGCCCGTCGCCGTTAATCAGAAAGCAACTGCAGAAGTAGGCTTCTATTTGATTCTTTTTCTTTTGTTTCAATTTCTAAGACTGATTATTACAGACCGGTGTTCTCGTCAATGGCGTGGAGAGCTCTAGGGAAAAAGGCGAGCCATTTTTTTTCTTTTTCTCGTATCTGTTATGCGCCTCCATCTTCCAAAAGACCGGACTTTTACATCTTATCTTATTATCCTAAATACTTATCGCCAATCTTAGAATTTCTTTGTACGTTTTCTATTTAGTGATTTTGTTCATTTTGTGGCTGTTAAGAACATCAGTTTCGGCGCCTACAGTTTTTGTTCAATTCTTCTGTTTTACCTCATCAGTATTTTCTCTGTTCATGGAAGATGATATTTGCCCATCTCTTGAAGTTTTAACTATTTTCGTGTGGATCGTTTTGCAGGGCTTTTCTGCTAATCTTGCCAAAGTATCTGCTGTAGCATCAGTTTCAAAATGTGGAGTTCAAGATTCTGCCAAATTGCTATCTGCTACAGTGAGGCCTTTACACGGTAAACAATTATTATTTGCATTAAGGTTTCTTATTTTATACTTTTTCATAGTTAAACTCTTTTATATCTGTGTAATTTTGGTTCCTCTTGTTAGTCTGTAGTGTATATATTGGTTATTGAAAATTAGTAGCATCTCTCTATCAGGGAACGTGGACAAGCAAGGTTGGCACTTCACTCTGTAAAGGATTTTTTTCTTTTTCTTTTTTCTTTTAATATTCCTCCTTGTTTATTGTGACATGTTGTTGGAACACTGGTCTCTTAGAAATATGATTAACTTGGTAGAATGCAGCACTGTTGGTAGTTTTTGTTAGTGGGAAGAAATATTTATAGAATAAATGTTGTTGGTTACCTTTCGATATCTTATGTGTTTCAGGATTTTGCCAACCCACAAATCCCGCTGCTGCCTATAAAGATGTTACCATTGGACCTAGCGTGTGGTTAATTCGGTAATTAAGCTTACTTTGCTATTTATTTAAGTTTACTGTGCTATTTATTTCACAATGTCCATCACTGTTGAGTTTCGTCATAAGGCAACGATGGGTGCTTGAGAGATAATCTTGTTTTAGGTTAAATGTGCCTCTGGTGCCAATATCATTGTCAGTAGAGGGAGAGTGGTATAACAGCTTTTCAGGCAGTTACATACTTTAAAATTGTTTCTATCATCTATAACAGGCGGATTTGAACCGTTTCAATCTTTTTATTGGTCCATAATTTGCTAGAGTTCTCTTTTCTGTTTCAAGTGACAAGCCAAACTCCACCTCTCCCTAGAGATGAATTTGAATTTTACGACTTATGTCAAGCATACTTATATCATGCATTAGAGACCATGATTAGTCCTAGTTTTGTCTAATTGGTCGTTAGGAAGTTTATTTTTTAACTTTTGACTTTAAATCATTATATTTTGCATTTACACATGATGTACATGAAAAGAGGACATACTTTTTACCTGATATTCTTTATGCTAGCTGGTATGTAATACATGAACTTGTGTTAAGCTTTTGTGTTTTCCTCATTCAGATCATCAATGATACTCTTAGATAGCAATGTTACTCCATTATATGGTTATGGTTTAAAATTATCAAGGTAGGAGCCTGGTACATATGTTATATTCAGACCTTGTAGTTGGCTGGAATGTTGCATACAATTAGTGCATATTTGACCTCGGACTTTCACCTGTGTGCGTGTAAGTAAAAGTAAGAAAATGTGGAGGTGCATAACAACTTCACTCCAATTCTTGTTCACATGTAAAAATCCACCTGTAAGTGAGCAGCAACACTTAAGTCACTCATAAAAAATGATATACCAAACTATCCAAGGATCACTCTCGATTATATCTCGAATATTTGCATATTTTTAAAGTATGTTATTCTATTCGTTGTTCGACATCTTGCATATTTTCTTTTGGTCTTTGATACCTTATGCAGTGCCTAGTTATTTAACCATGTCATACACACATTGTTCCTCTCAAGGCATCTGCACGCGAGTCGGGAGCTTCTCGCCAAGAGAAAGGAGGATGATTCATTGCGTTTAAAAAATTCTAAGCGAGTGAAATCCTTCAGCGGCAAGTTCTCCAAGAGAAAAAAAGAGAACAAACCTCCGGTCGAAACTCCTTATGTGCCTCCCAAGCTGAAAAGGGCTGCCAAGTCTTTGCCGGATAAGACGATCGAAATATTCGAAGGCATTACTATCGGGGAGCTTGCTAAACGTTGTGGAGAGTCTATACCGACCATTCAAAACATAATTGTGAACGTCGGTGAGAAAGCCGATTCAGAGTTTGACGGTCTCAGCATCGACATAGCTGAGCTGGTTGCAATGGTATTAATTCCTCGAAATTACGACATGTTGTGCTCTGATTCTTGATCAATCACTAATTTTATGAGTGAAAATGGTACAATGATGCAATTCTATATGTTCTTGAAGAGTCCTTAGAAAGAAACTTGTGTTGAAGAGTTTTAGAATGATCTCTCTCTCTCTCTCTCTCGCTCACTCTCTCTCTCTCTTACACACATACACACACATTCTCAGACACACAACAAACACTCACCGTCTATGCAATCTATATATATTATGGAGTTCAGACACAACAAACACTCACCGGTTAATTTTCCTGCATGATGTTCTCAAAGTTGTATGAACTCAAATCCAACATTTTATTTTCCCGAACGCTAAGTGCGGCTTCTGTACTATTTTTCTCTGTCCATGTATTCATAACCACCGGATACTCATATTTTCAGGAAGTCGGGATAAATGTGCACAGGCTACACTCAGACGAGGGCGTAGAAATCCTGCCACGGCCACCAGTAGTCACCGTCATGGGCCACGTGGACCACGGAAAAACGTCCCTTCTCGATGCCCTCCGCCAGACGTCCCTTGCCGCCAGGGAGGCTGGCGGCATTACCCAACACTTGGGTGCATTTGTCGTCGGCATGCAGTCGGGCGCAGCCATCACTTTCCTCGACACGCCAGGTCATGCAGCCTTCAGCGCCATGCGGGCTCGTGGGGCTGCAGTCACTGACGTTGTAGTGCTTGTGGTGGCTGCTGACGATGGCGTGATGCCCCAGACGCTCGAGGCTATGGCCCATGCGAAGGCTGCTGGTGTTCCGGTTGTTGTCGCTATCAATAAGTGTGACAAGCGGGATGCGGACCCGGAGAGGGTCAAGGTCCAGCTGGCATCTGAGGGTTTGATGCTGGAGGAGATGGGTGGAGATGTCCAGGTCCGTGGGTATATCTATTTCGTAACTGACCTCACATTTTATTTTAAGTTGTTCGATTTTTGTATATGTGTTACATGTATTTAAAAAAAAAAAATAAAAAAATCGACAAGAATTGTATTTAGCTATTTCACACAGAATAAGAAAATCTTGGTTAATACAGTTGAATTATGGCATTTTGCATTTTTTTTTCCGTGGGTATATCTGCTTCGTAACTGACCTCCCATCCTTTTTTTTTTCGATTTTTATGTATATGTACATGTGTTTTACAAAATAAATCGACAAGACTTAATTATATTATTTTTTTGTATGGTACTTATTTAGCTATTTTCACACAGAAAAGAAAATATTGGCTAATGCAGTTGAATTATGGCAGCATTTTTCATTTTATGACTATGCCTAATTTATTACTTTTCTTTTGTCCACTCGTTTTCCGTAATGTTAGTCTATGCGAATGGAGGTGTGTGATCCCAAAAAATATTTGAAATTAGGGGTGAAATGGTAACGAGTGACGACTGTTAGCTATAGACTACATGAAAAGCAACTTTTGTGGGCGCCTATCTATGTTGACGGATGGAGTATATCTTATATTTTGTTTTATACATATTCTTGTTCACATCTTATCTTCAGGTCGTCGAGGTGTCTGCAGTGAACAAAACTGGGTTGGATCAGCTGGAGGAGGCCCTTCTCCTCCAGGCCGAGCTAATGGACCTCAAGGCTCGTGTGGATGGGCCAGCCCAGGCCTATGTTGTCGAGGCCAGGGTCGACAAAGGCCGAGGTCCACTAGCCACCGCAATTGTGAAAAAGGGGACACTTGTCTGCGGTCAGGACATCGTTATTGGGTCTGAGTGGGGAAAGATTCGGTGCATTCGGGACATGTCAAGGAATATGATCCTGCGGGCCACCCCTTCTATGCCAATCGAGATCGAGGGCCTTAAGGGGCTTCCAATGGCTGGGGATGATATTGTGGTTGTTGTGTCTGAGGAGAGGGCTCGGATGCTGAGTGAGGGAAGAAAGAAGAAGGAGAGGCGGAAGTTGGAGGAGGAAGGCGTGGAGAAATGGAGGCTGGAGGGTGAGGAGCATAGGAGGCTGAGGCGGGAGCTGAAGCTGAAGGAGGAGGAAGAGAAGAAGGGAAGGAAGAGTTCCGAGGATGGAAACAATGAGAGTGAGGGTAATGATTCGGAGGAGGAAAGCAAGACGGTTGAGGTCCCGATTATTGTGAAAGGCGACGTGCAGGGGACCGTGCAGGCGGTTAGTGATGCCTTGAAGAGTTTGAACAGTCCACAGGTTTGCGTTTCTTATTTTTGTTTTTTTGGTGGGATGGGATACATTTGTGCTTTCGAGAGCGTATCTTTTGTATCTACATATTTAAAGTATGTGACTCTCTTTGGATTTTTATTATTTTTTTTTTTTTCTTTTTTGGTATGACAGGTACTTGTGAAGGTCATTCATGCTGGGGTGGGTCCTGTCTCGCAGTCAGATGTGGACATGGCGAAGGCGTGTGGCGCGTGTATCGTGGGGTTCAATGTTCGGGATCTGGCTCATGCTGTCAGCCAGGCAGCCAGCCAGGCCAAGATAAAGGTATAACTTTGTGTCGTGCCCTTCTGTTTTCGCTCGCCTATGTACAAAATGACAGTTGTGATTCGCTGATATTGTACTTGTTTGACAAATCACCCCTTAGCGTAGATCATTATTTTATTTTATTTTTTTTCAGTAAGAATTAAAGAGAAACCACAACTTAATTTCTTTCCTATTTCGAAAAATCTTATTCCCAAATCTATACTCCTTATCCTTAACACTCCATCTGCGTAAAATAATACCATCAACAAAAAAAAAAAAAAAAAAAAAAAAATGCAGATAGTACTGCACCGTGTGATCTACCATCTCCTTGAAGACATCGGAAATCTGATCGTTGAGCGGGCCCCAGGGACCCTGGAGACTGAGGTAGCAGGTGAGGCCCAAGTGCTCAACATATTCGAAGTCAAGGGGAAGGGCAAAGGCAAAGGGGACGATTTCAAGATTGCGGGATGCCGAGTGGTTGATGGCCGGGTGAGCAAGTCAGCCACTCTGAGGCTCCTGAGGAGCGGTGAGACTTTGTTCGAGGGCTGTTGCGCGTCTCTCAAGAGAGAGCAGCACGATGTGGATGCCGTGGGCAAGGGCAACGAGTGTGGCCTCGTCATCAAGGATTGGGCCGATTTTCGGGTTGGGGATGTCGTGCAGTGCCTGGTCAAAGTCAAACGAAAGCCCAAGTTCGTGTCGTCTGAAAGTGGGGCCGTTCGCATCGAGTGTTGACGGGTTTTGTCAGGAGTATATTATTTGTTTAGTTCAAAACTCACTCTTTATTTCTTTTCGTATTTTTTTTTTCTTCTTTTTTGTTTTTTTTTTTTGGTTGGGGANGCGCGCTATAGTTGTTCTGCACGAGATTTTGCTAACTTGTCACATATGTGTTGTTACTTGTTAGTAAGAGTTATTTATTGATGAGGTTTGAGTGTCAAAGTATGCTCATGGAACATTTGAACAGGAATGGTTTTGCTATGAATGGTGTGGAAATTTTTTATTTTTATTTTTCTTTATGTTAAATGTGTTTGAAAAACTACGAGTTCAGCATAACCTCAATGTGAACGACAACAATAAATGAATTCAATATTGAGAAGCTGCAGCTTGCGAAAGCCGAGAAGGGAAAGATCATGCAAGAGCATGAGTGCAAAGAGACATTCTTGATGCAAGGCTGGATGTTGTGTTCTTGTTTGAAACCGCCAGAGGTACTGCTGCTGCCTTACTGTTAAATGCTTATCTTATTCTTATAGGCATTTTGTTGTAATGAAGGTTGCTAACATAAACAATTAATTGAGCTTAAATTCCAGCTGTTTTTTCTTTTTTCCCTTGTGATTCCTACTTTAAGCTGATTTTCAACTGCTTCACAAAAGCTGATATCACACTGAGTACTCCCAAATAAGAAATATTTGCAGCGTGAACATGCGGTTTCCCTTTTTACTCTGACAATTTTTTTTTTTTTTTTTAGAAAACTACGTATGAATCTGTGGAAATCCAAGAACGGAGAAGAAAATGAAATAGATAAGTAAACGCATCTTGATATTATACACAACATATCTTGAAGAAGTGGTTGTACATTTTGTTCTTTTGCCTCCTGTTGTGCAAATTATTCAATTTTTTTAGGTCAGTTCTAGTGTCCAAAGGGGCTCTTTACCTACATTACATTAACATGTCTAAGAATTTCATCATTTGATTAGTGATCGAAGCCTTTATAAATTTTGTGTTTAGTTGTAGTCTTTATCTCATTGGTTACTCCTAAAGTCATTTTTGTGCCAATAGGATGGTTCATGGTTGTTAGGCAGACATACCGCTTAGAAAATCACACATTTTCAAAAAATATTCATACTTTCAAACTGAAATTTCATGTTTTAAAAAACAACACGAAGAAAAGTATGACATTTCATAGCATCATTGTGCATTTTTGTTAAAAAAGATATACAGATCGACACCGCTTGCATAATTTTGATATCCTCTTTTTCATATTTTTATGGTTTTCGGAGTGTTCTACTGTTGATTAAAACCTGAAAACAATACCATTCCACTGTTGTACGTACTTTTCATCCATAATATTGATGTAATCTTTCAGAATCCTTTTTCCTTCTCCTATTGATTGGCATCTATGACTCAGATATAGTGATATGTGTAGTCAATATTTCACGTGGTTTCTCTTTTACCCCGAATTTTTGTGTAAAGATTTGAATGAACTCAGCGAGAGAAAAATGAAATACAACACGAGAGGAAAGATTTCATTATCTGAAAAATGGAAAGGCGAAAAGTTGTGTACAATTAGGGTTAGAGTCCCTTTCATATGATGGACTTTAATCCTAAGTAAATGAGGAATAAAGGGTACAAGTCTTGAAGCACAAAATACAAGTAAACCTAACTACATTTATTCTAATGCATACAAGTAAACCTATTTACATATAATCTAATACCCCCCCGCAAGAGGAACATGGATGTTCAGCATGTTCATCTTGGATAAATTTTGTTGAAACACTTGAACCCCCAAAGGTTTGGTGAGTATGTCTGCAACTTGGTTTTGAGAGGAGACATGCTGTAGGTTGATAACTCCTTTTGCTAGCTTCTCTCTGATCAAGTGGCAGTCAATTTCAATGTGTTTGGTTCTTTCATGCTGTATGGGGTTTTTGGCAATGGCAATGGCTGACTTACTATCTGAAAATAAATCAACAGGGGCAGTATGAGTAATATTTAAATCATGTAAAAGGTAAAGTAACCATTGTGCCTCACAGGTGGCAGAGGCTAGAGCTCTGTATTCAGACTCGGCTGATGATCTACTCACAGTAACTTGTTTCTTAGATTTCCAGGATATTAAGGAAGAACCAATAAAGAAAGCATAACCAGTTATACTTTTTCTAGTATCTATGCAACCAGCCCAATCACTATCAGAAAAACCAGATAAGTGTAAAGGAGAATCTCTAGGATAGAATATACCTTGGCCTGCAGTGTTTTTTATGTACCTTAACACCCTATGAGCTGCAGATAGGTGCTGCTGAGTGGGTTTGTTCAGGAATTGACTGAGAGCCTGTATACTAAAAGATAAATCTGGTCTAGTGATAGTTAAGTAAAGAAGTCTGCCAATTAATTTTCTATAAGAAGTGGCATCTACATAATCAGTATCAACAGAACAAGTAGCTGTAAGTTTAAGACATGAATCCATAGGTGAATTAGCTGGTTTTGAACCCAAAAAACCTGTGTCCTCTAAGATATCAAGAGCATATTTTCTTTGACAGATGTTGATGCCTTTATTTGATTGTGCAACTTCTATGCCAAGAATATATTTTAATGTTCCCAGGTCTTTAATAGTAAAACAGGTATCTAAATGAGATTTTACCTTGTTAATCTCTGCCATGTCATTACCTGCAAGTATGATGTCATCTACATAGACCAACAGTGCTGTAAATGAATCATTCTCAGATTTAATAAATAAGGAACAATCAGCAGATGACTGGGTATAACCAAAATCCAAAAGACAAGTTGTTAGTTTATGAAACCATTGCCTAGATGCCTGTTTAAGGCCATATAGGCTTTTGACTAATTTACAAACTTGTGATGGATTTGTGGTTTCATAGCCAGGGGGAGGGGACATATAAATTTCTTCATCTAAGTCACCATGCAAGAATGCATTGTTGACATCTAATTGATGAAGGTTCCAATTTTTAATTGATGCAATAGCAAGTAAGGTTCTGACAGTGGTGATTTTAGCAACTGGAGAGAAAGTGTCAAAGTAATCCAAACCTTCTTCTTGGGTGTAGCCTTTGGCTACAAGTCTTGCTTTGTATCTGCCAATAGTACCATCAGAGTTGTATTTGATTCTAAAAACCCATTTACATCCAATGCAGTTTTTATTGGGTGGAAGAGTAGTTAAGACCCATGTGTTTGTTTTCTCAAGAGCTTCTATTTCTTTATGCATAGCATCAACCCATAAGGGGTCTTTTGAAGCCTGTTTATAAGTTTTTGGCTCAGTAGTTGAAGAAATAGATGCTGTAAAACATTTATGGTTTTCATTGAGCCTTTCTGTTGAAAGATATGAAGAAATGGGATAAATGGATGTTCCAGATGTGTTCAACTGTGATGGAATTGAGGTATAGTTGGAAGAATGAGGTACAGAATGATTGTATATGGACAAATAAGAAGGTGGTTTTCTGTTTTTAGTAGATTTTCTGGTTTCTGAGGGAGGTAAAGATGGTTGTGGGGGTTGCACAGGAGAGATAATAATAGGGTTGGCAGTTTCTGAAGGAATAATAGTAATATTATTTGTAGTGTCTGAGGTAGATGTAGAGTCTGAGTTATTTGGTGGTAAGTTTAGGTGGATATTTGTGTTGTCAACCATAGGATAATCATGAACAAAGTTGGGTGGGGCAGGAAAAAGGGAGCTGTGAGAAAATGGAGCTTTATTCTGGAAAGGAAACACAGTTTCATAGAAGAACACATTTCTGGAAATCAATGTTTTCTTGGTTTCCAAGTTTTAAAGTCTATAGCCTTTACAACCGAGTGGATAACCAAGAAGGATGCATTTGGATGCTCTTTTGTCAAACTTTGTTCTTTGAGAAGAAATAGTTGAAGAATAACATAAACAGCCAATTACTCTCAAATGATCATAACTGGGGGTTTTGTTGTATAAAATTTCAAAAGGGGATTTGTTTTGTAAAATGATAGAAGGAATTCTATTAATAATATGAGCTGCTGCCAAAATGCAATCAATCCAGAATTCAAGAGGTAAGTGGGCATGAAATAATAATGCTCTAGCAACATTTAAAAGATGTTGATGTTTTCTTTCAACTCTGCCATTCTGTTGGGGAGTTTCAACACAAGAAGTTTGATGTTTCCCAAAGAAGAGAAAAAATCATGCATAAGAAATTCCTTGCCATTATCAGTTCTGATTGTTTTGATAGTAGTGTTGAACTGAGTTTTTACAAGATTATGAAAATGCAATAAATGGTTTTTAGTATCAGCTTTGGAATGCAAAGGGTAAATCCATGTAGTTCTACTGAAATCATCTACAATAGTGAGGAAGTATTTGAAACCAGAATGAGATGTAACAGAGAAAGGACCCCATATGTCACAGTGAATTAATTCAAAAATGCAAGATGCAATAGAAGTACTAACAGAGAAAGGTAACTTCTTTTGCCTAGAGAAATGGCATACATCACATGGTTTAGCAGCAAGATGTTTACAAGAAATATCAGAAAACTGTAATGAAGGCATTTTATGATATGAAAGATGTCCAAGTCTATTGTGCCATAGTTCAGAATTGGAAACAATATTTGAAGTGGAACTGCTGTTACATGAAATTACAGAAGATGGACTATGCAAATCTAAAAAATATAAGCCATTTCTAGCTTCAGCAGAACCAATCATCCTTTTGGATGTTGTTTCCTGCACAATACAGTGAGAGGAGAAAAAATTGACCACACAGTTGTTAGTGGATGTTAGTTTTGAAATAGAGATGAGGTTAAATTTAAAGGTAGGAACAAATAAAGCATTGTGCAGCACAAGATTAGGTCCCAAATTTATTTGTCCCACATGGCATGCACAAGCCTTTTGACCATTAGGAAGATTAATAGGAATAGAAATGGGGGATGGGGGAGATGTAAACAATGAGATGTCACATATCATATGATCAGATGCACCAGTGTCAAGTATCCAAACAAACTTGTCAGTATTATTAGTAAAAACTGAGTTAGCAGTTATACCTGAAGTTTCAGGATTCACATGAGCAGTAGCAACCATAGGAGCAGGATGAGGAAGTCCAACTCCCTGTTTGCTATCATAAGATTTTTTAAATTCAAGGAACTCATGAAACAAAGTGTCAGTGGTAGAATTATCAGAAATAGGAGGATGACTGACAACAGAGTTAGCAGATACAAGGTCAGGATGTTTCCTAGGACCTTTAGGACCTTTCCAATGAGGTGGATAGCCAATGATTTGATAGCAATTTTCAACTGAATGGTTGTAACCACAATGGGAGCATTTCTGCTTTGGTTTATCTTTTGAAAGTGGTGGTTTGTTGTATCTGTTCTGAAATTGAGGTGCCTTGGCAAGCATAGCCACAGAATCAATAGGTTTACTCGAAATATGTAAAGACCTTTGGCTTTCTTCTTGGAGGAGAAGGGAGTAAACTTTTGACAGAGAAGGCAGGGGTGATGACAGTAAAAAATGACTTCTAAGAGAAGAATATGTGTCATTTAAACCAATAAGAAATTTCATGACTGAGTCATCTTGCTGAGCTGTGATCATTGCATCAAGGATGTTACAAGTACAAGAGTTGAGAGCACCATAGGTACATCGAAAAACAGGTCTATAGGTAACATACTCATCCCACAGCGATTTAAAAGAGTTGTAATAGTGAGTGATAGACATAGAACCCTGGTCCATAGTACTTAGGGATTTTTCAAGTTGGAAAACCCTAGGACCACTAGATAGAGCATATCTAGACTTGATTTCATCCCAAACATCCTTAGCAACAGAGAAAAATAACAATGACTGACGAATTTCTTTAGTGACAGAGTTCAGAAGCCATGATAACACCAAATTATTCGCACGTACCCAAGCAAGAGAATCAGAAGGACTAGCAGAGGGATTAGGAACAGAAATTGTACCATCAACAAACCCTAGTTTGTTTTTCACGCTGAGAGCCATAGAGACTGAACGAGACCACGAGACATAGTTGTCGCCAGTGAATGGTTCAGCGATGATTAAAGCACCCGGATTATCACTCGCATGGAGGAAAAATGGTGATGTCGGATCATCAGTTGGATTCGGCATAATGGCAACAATCAGAGTTCAGCAGTGTAGATCGGGTGTGAATCGAACGGATCTGGTGCAAATCAGATGGAGACGGTGTGAATCGAACGGATCTGGTGCAAATCAGATGGAGCCGGTGTGATCAAATAGATGTAACACAAATCGGTTGAGCCAGTAAAGGATCGGAGACGCGTGCTCGCAATAATCAACGAAATGAGCGATGTAGCAGTGGTGATCGATAGAATCCCCAAATCGCAAAACAGAATCGACAAATCAAGAGAAATTGCCGAAAAATATCCAAAAAATCGAATAGAAATCGATTAATTTGGGTCAAAGAAGATGAAATGCAGCGGAAATTAGGAAAGGATCAAATAATCTGAGCGATTGATACCATGTAAAGATTTGAATGAACTCAGCGAGAGAAAAATGAAATACAACACGAGAGGAAAGATTTCATTATCTGAAAAATGGAAAGGCGAAAAGTTGTGTACAATTAGGGTTAGAGTCCCTTTTATATGATGGACTTTAATCCTAAGTAAATGAGGAATAAAGGGTACAAGTCTTGAAGCACAAAATACAAGTAAACCTAACTACATTTATTCTAATGCATACAAGTAAACCTATTTACATATAATCTAATATTTTGGGATCCTTTAGTTAGAGATATAAAATCAGTCATTTTCTTATATATGTGGTCGGTTTTTCATATTACTCCCTCCATTTTGAAATATAAAGCGTATAAAGATTTCTCATTTTTTTTGAAATATAAGGCGCGCTCAAAAATCAAGACAAATTTTTGCATTTTTTTCCAAATATACCCTCATTGTGTTGAAATTAAGGAAGTGTGGAGTGGTTGTGATTAGAGTAAATAAGGTTAATTTAGTCAATTTATTCATTAATTAATGTCTCCTTAATATTTGTGCAATAACCTTAAATGCCTTATATTTCAAAATGGAGGGAGTAATTATTTGGAACTTGACATTAAATTGTACTAGCACGAGTGTTTGTTGCTGTGTCAATTTTGTGCATTTACACTGTACGAAACCGACATGACTCGTTTTACATCTTAAATGAAAATTAATTAGCATAATTATCCTAAAAAATATCGTATTTTTCGAAACGAAGAACCAATTGCAGTTCAAGAATTCTT